CATTTCCCAACTAAAGGCACATTTTTTTCCTACAAATTTCATTCTTAAAGACTATCTTTAGCTTTACATCTAGAGATCACCCTCCAACTGATCAAATGATCTTTTTTTCCATTCAATACTTGCTTCTCACCAAAAATACCCATATCTTTTGGATTTTCCTTGATATCTTTACTGACATTTTAAAGATAAATGGCAATGCAAGCCACGACAAACTGAATTAAAGTGAGCCTAACCCATTTGGAAATGAAAGGTCCTTCTAACCAGACAACTTTTTCCCCACTCTTTCAATAACTAGACCCCAAAAAGTCAAAAACAATGGATTCCCACCTAAAGGCCTAAGTATTTTAGAGGCCATTAACCAACAAAATATCCCAAAATACCAACCAGCCTATTGATCTTTATCTTAATGAGAACTTATAACAACAATCAAACATTTATCCATATTAACTTTTAGCACTGAAACTATACAACACACATCAAAAATTTTCAAATGTTTCAAATACTGTAATACGCAAACTACAAGTGTGAAACATAAATCCTCTTCCTCCCAATTACAAATATTTCCTCAAGACTACATCTTCCAACCCTCATATGCAACCCAATGAAAACCGACGCATAATTGAGAAATACTTTGACCACAAGCAATCGACAATCCACCTCCCTCCGTCTACCCTCAAATCTTTTCACTTCCAACAAGGATCAAAATATCATTTTGGCACATTGTTTCGGTCACCTAAGAAATGGAAACGTTTCGAAAATGTTTCAGAAACATAATGAAAATGGATAAAATTTAGGCATTTATTTTCAAAACATTTCAAAGTATTGGTCTAAATATAGTTAAAGATCTTGAAACATCTCAAAATATTCCAAAACGTTGGTAAATACATATTGAAACATCTCAAAAAAACTCAATATTCCGAAATATCTCAAAGTACTGAAATTTTGATTCAATCAATGATTCCATTTCGATCTCCATAGAAACAGAAACATTTCAAACGTTTCGACTATTTCGGCACGATATTTTGATCCTTGATTTCCATTAATCTAAAATCTTTCAATCCATATGGTCATAAACCATTTCAAAATCTATTTTGAAAATAAACCCCTCCTTCCCTCTAGATCAATTATCCTCCACAACCTCATTAGCCGTAAGAGCAGTATCTAATATCTATATTCTCTTGACAACCACTCCTTGAAATGATGAAATAATATCACTAAAAGTCTCCCTCACTCTCATTACAACACTTCTGCAATGATCTTATAGAAGTTGGATACCAAACTAATTAGCTAAAGTCCCTCATTTCCAAGTGTAATTGCATTAGCCAAAACATTTTGGAAAATTCAAAAAATACATCAATCAAATCCTTGGCAACTACATCCCATTAATCTAGGTAAGTAGTCATTCAACCCAACCAGACCAAGAGCTTTATCCCAACTACACTTAAAGAGAGTATTACCTACTTCTCTCTCTTCGGAAGGCCTTTCCGGTTCCCAAGTTGCTATTAGTGGAACTCCAATCTAACCCTTAAAAGAAATCAATAATCTCACTATTGATGTTTTCCTCACCTTTTACTATCACTTCATTTTCTAGATTTGCTTATTGATGAATTTTCTTCTTTCTATTCTTGATCACCACTCTATGAAAAAGTTTCAAATTGTTATCTCCTTTTATCCAAATGGCATTTGCCTTTTGTCTTATTTTCTCATTAAATACCACCTCAAAATTATTCCTATAATCCCACCCCTCTTTTCTTACAATCTGATCTAATTCCTCACTCTCTTCCAACTTAAAATTTTGTCCATACACAATAGCTAACCACCACTCAACACCAACTCCATATTTTATTCTCACCAAAATTGTAAACTCACCTTCTATCAACCCTTCAACAAAAAAAGTCCTCTCATCCCACATCATTATTACTCCTCCCTTCATCCCAAGCTATTTATTTATATTAGACGAATGGTCAAAGCGATTGCATACCCCCAATTTATAAATGAATAGCCCCAAATACTCTACACTAAGCTTTTCTCAACAATCACTTTCTCAGATTCTTGTAATAAAACCACTTCCAGACTCACTTTAAAAAGCATTTCTTTTATTGAGTTCCTCTTTCTCCTTCATCCCAAACCCTATCCAATTAATCATCTCCATAACAAAGTACCAACACCCTCACCATTTCTCCCAAAACTCACTGCATCATAAGTACACCCCCCACGTGCAAGTTTCTAAGTCCACAAACTCCCTTAGCCTCCTTTACACTTTTTCTGTCAATTGTTTCATTTCCATTCAATTTTGTTATGGACTAAGTTAAATCCTAATTTTCCAAAAAAAAATCTCTAAAATTGTTCAATTCTCCTTGTTGATATAGAATGCCTCTCATCTGCTTCAGTATTTTCTGTCTACATTTCAGGAATTACACCAATCCTTTCATCTCAATAGCAATTAGCAACCTCAGCAATCATAGTTGTAGGATCCCTAAGAACCAAATTACATGAGGCATCCTTCTTACCATTACGTAAAGCCAAATCAGAATTGTCAAAATATCTTGTTCTTTCAAATATGTTGCAACATAATGATCTCTTTTGCCGAAGGAAGCAATGGTGTGAGAAATTAAAGAGGAATGCTCCAAATGGAATCAGATGGAAACAATTTCCACAGAAAAGGAGAAGAAACCCTACTATATCATTATAAGTAGAAGAAGATGATCTTAAGATAGTATGCATCCTACGTAAAGCTATGCACCCCTATCTTAATGAACCACAATTAATACTCCGAAAACCAAGAACCTATAAACTGACTGCCCTAAACGCATCTGCATGTTTGTGCATGTATAGATACACTGCCCCGTTCTCATTCAAGCCAGGTTCATTCTGCACAGATCGCACAAGTGCTAGATCCTCTTGCAACAAATTCTCAACAACTAACCCAATTCCACCTAAAACTTCATGGTTATTTTTGTTTATAAAAAGATAGTTTAGACCCCACAACTTCCGGTAAACCATCAACCTACCAGTTGCCACCCTCTTTTGTGTGTTAGTAAAAAGCTTAAAACACCCACAAAAAGACATCCTGTGAAATTTATATTAACCTAAGCAAGCGCTGATAGAAATTGGGCAACCATGTTTTACTGGTTCAAACCTTACAGTTCTTTAGGAACTTGATTTTATTTTTGCATTTCTCAAGCTTGTACAGAAAACATTATTCGATTAGCAAGAGATTCAGCAGTCTAACTCGTCTGTTTCATATGTCGAACAAAGTTCATAATTGTAATTAGACATTTCCCTTTGGATTAGAATTAGGAAAGGCCGCAACAGTTGCCTTGCAAGCTACAACCAATGTGGAATGGATAGTAAAAAGAAAGACAAGCAACAAACGGTCTTATTGCTTACCACAAAAGCAATGACTGACACATCTGGGGCTTGGTTGTTCACTCCATATCAATGTCAACTAAACATGAGATTCGTAAAGGAACGGAATATGAGTAATTGTAAGACATGCCAACATCCAAACCAACTCTCAAAGATGACTCCAATTAGTGCTCTTACTTCTTATTAATAGGTATGCTAGCTCTTAGAAATTAGGGGTTGTCAGCTACCTAAACCCAAAATTGAATCAAAGCTCAGAAATTTTAAAAAAAAGGCTCAACCTTTGGACTAAAGGATTCTCACAAATGGATCACAACAGCATCAAAGAAGAGGATTGAAATAAAATTTAGAAGTTGAGCAGCATTTCCAATAACACTTCACTAAGCAATGGAGCCTATTTAATTAATACAATATGACAATAAGAACGTACAAAATTCTGCCCACCTTTTACACAAGTTTCACGAGTCCATATCTTAGGATCGAAGAAGCACGGATATAGACATGGAGATACGACAAAATTCGTAAATATAGGATACAAGTATGGCAAAGATACGGCTATTAAAATAATATAATAATATTTAGATAGAGTTATAATATATTAAAAATAAAAAATATATAATAAAAATATAAATAATAAGACCTAACAAATATTAATTTTTTGATTAAAATAGAAATAAATCAAAATAAATATCCATCATTTTGATCAAATATCATTTCATCCATTAACATTCATAGCATATAAATTACATTAAAAAAATATATATTAATAAAATAAAAATAGCGCCCCTTTAAATAATTAATAGTTGTTTTTAAAAAAAAAAATCATGTTCATGTTTAAGCCGTGTCCAACTTAGTTCACTATTGAAGACACTTCTAACCGTGTCAGACACGTGTCCGGCCGTATTCCACGTGTGTCTATGTTGAACACGTTCGCATGTCTATGTCAAACACGTGTCCGACACTACTACGGCACTCTCCGTGAAGTATTCGTGCTTCCTACCTTAAGATCTAGGAGATAGACCAAAATATGCACACACACACACACCCCCTCCCAAGAAAAGCCAAGTCCAAAGGCAACATGCAATGTCGCAGGAATATATGGTTGACACAATAATTCACACAAGTCAAACACATACTAAAATCTAGCCAGAGAATTTAGCAGTTGAAGTTTGGAAACTAACACCTAGAATAAAGGATGACAAAAGACACTCGTAATATCATTAACTATCACTTATCATTCAGCAAGTATCACTGACTGCCTACCTATCTAACATAGAGTGACACTAAAGTTATTGATATTTGTCGTCCATCAAGGTTCCTAGCATTTTAAGATTCAACATCATTTCGAGTCGAAATTCCACATATCAATTTCAAAATCTCAACTTCAAGTCAAGCCGTATTCAAATTATGATGGAAGTTAATACGGAATTACGCTGCTGCTACAAGCTTTAGGTGCCAAAACATTATGCAATTTGATGCCTAGCATCAACGTGTCTATTTATTGTTAAACAACTAGGTACTTTGGGAGTCAAACTATTGCTTGTCATCCATGATCTATCCATTCTAGCTCCTTTTTATTTGCTTTTTGGGTAGTGTAGTGATAAGCATCCTAAGTGATTACGTGTCATCAAATATTATAGCACTATAAGGATCATCTTAACAGTCTCTCTCTGAGACTTTATACAAACAACAGCACAATATCCCTTAAATGAACCAAAATCAGTTTTAGCAAAGATCACAACTATTACACATTCTATAGAATTACTCACAGGTAAAGCTTGAAGTGTAAAAAGGGCATGCCCAAGGAACTCTGCATCCAAACTTGTTGGCCTGCATAAGTTAACAACAAAGGTGGGTACATTAAGAGTGCATCAATATCCGTCATTAGTTATCAAATCGAGATTCGTATCGGGAATCAAAATACTAGATTTGAAAATTGGGAAACGTATCGAATTAGGAATCGTAAAATTCGACACAAAATTCGAAATAATGATAAAAAATAACATGTACATATTTAAAATAGGCAAGATATCAAATATTGAACATTATTGTATTTTAAAAATAATCAATTGACAAGTATTGACATGATCACATTATCTAAATGGAAAGATGCTAGGCTTTATAAATCTCCATAAAGTTGCACTCGAGTTTGTAGCTCTGTTATTTTTTTCTAAATGCATAATAAATCGTTTTCTTAAAATGGTCACGATGAAAGATTGCATGATTTTAGCCAACAAATAGATATTATCAATCCTACCAATGAAGTTAAACTAAAATAAGAAAAGCTCATACTCATTGGAACATGTAAACTTAGAAAATTACTTCCCACATTCGACTGAAAAATAATTTTTTGATGAAAAATAAAAAACAGAACATTTATTGAAGAAGAAGAAGTAGTAGTAGGGTATGTTAGGGGTTAGTAGTTGTTTTCGAAGAAAAAAAAAATACCTGGAGTGAAGGAGAAATGTGAAGGAGACGTCTCTGTATGATGTTTATGGACGTTTGAACAATTGTCTGAGTGGCAGAGACACGAATAGGAGATACGGACAGAGAAGCGAGTAGGGGTGCCTCTTCTAGCAAAATGACGTCGTTTTGACTATCTAAAAGTCAAAATGACGTCGTTTTGACTATCGAAAAGTCAAAACGACGTCATTTTCCTAGAATGGGGTTAAAAAAATAATAAAATGAAACGTACGATTCTTTCTACTCTCTGTAAAAACGATTCCATAGTAAGATACGAATCAAATGAGGACTAAATCGAATCGAATCTTATGAATCAAATCGCGAATCATTTGATTTTTATATCAATTATGACAAGTGCTAAAGGCTTCCAAAATTGGTAGAGTCATCGACTTTATGGCCCAAAGGCGCCAAAAAAAACCAGTAACATATCTCAAGAAGTTACCTGTTTTCAAAGAAGAAGGAGTCTTCCCCTAACCTAGTTGACATAGCTCCATAAGCAATTGTTGCTCTCTTATAAATCTGTCCAATAGAAACTAATGACAAGTTTACACAAGATATATGTAATGTGCATGTGCAGGAGCGAACCAAAAGAAATGAAAGGAAGACAAAGAACATTATCACCCCTTCCACTATTTTGTGAGCGAGAGAAATAGTAAAGAAACAAGAAGGTTGACAATGCAGAACATATATATGGGAGATGTACCTCTGCTTCTCTTCTCTCAGCATTGTCTTTTGTTATCCCAAGTAGTTGTTTTGCAAAACGAATTTGCTTGAAATACAAAAATTTTCCAATTGGCCATGGGAGATCAGAATAATAAATCTTCTGTGCAGGACTCTCATCAGAGCCCACCCAGAGTTCATACATGACAGCATCTGCAAGCCACGAATCTATCATCGCCTTAGATGATATCCATTCGGGGATAGCATGGACTTCATAGTCCAAATCGAGAATGCCACCTTCTTTTAAACTCTCAATAACTCCACCCTTCTCATTATCATATGCACGTAAGTACCAGACTCAACATAAGGAATTTGATCTGCAAAATAAAAACTAAATATCAGATTATCAGGTTTTGAAAATTTGAAATTTTAGTCAGCTACAAACCATCAGAGATACAAGCTACAAAACCTTCTAGAAAATGATAAACCACTTCCTTACTAAGCTAAAAACCAAGATGGTCACAGAAGGATAACACAATCATTGGGGAGTTTATATATGAGATGAAGAAGAATATTGATCATCTTTTTCTTCATTCTCTGGGTGTTTTATCCTCGTAGAGAAAATTATTTTCATTAGAGGAGTTATGTTGGGTGACACAATCTTCAAGGTAAGAAAATCTTGTACCCCTTGGAGATGTGCGGAACGGAAATTTTTGGGTCTTATGGCTTGAAAGAAATGCACGAGTTTTGAAGATAAGTTTAGAGATGAGATTGGTTTTGGGAAAAGAATATGCTTTTGGCTCTTTTTTCGGTTTCGGTGTCCTCCGACTTTACAAGAATTCAATTGTTCTTCATTAGGGTGGACTAGAAATCCGTATGCAAGATGTCGTTTGTATTTTTGTCTTCTTGAAGGACTAATCGTCCCTCTAGTAATGCTTCTTTTTATTAATAAAACTAGTGCCACAGCCCCATGCATAGCACGGGAAATGTATTTTGTCATTTTTTTTAATATGATTTCATCCATTATTTTCTTCTTTCACCTTGATCAAGATAAAGGAATAATAATAAATTATTCAATGTTAAAAAAAATTTATGTGAATAGATTTGAAAAATTAGTGGTTAGTTAATTAGGAGTTTGAGGAGTAGTTACAAAAGACACATGGTAGAATGTGATTGAAGGGAGCCTTAGTATGATAATTAAAAAATAAAACTTTAAGAATTTAGGAAATGAGGAGGGAAGGCCTTCTAAACCTTCTCCCCTTTAATTTGTTTGTTTTATATATATATAGATAGATAGATAAATTCCATTACCAAATAAATCGTGCAATTATTTGGTGTAATGCTACCAACTCAATGTAACTCAACAAAGCTTTAAACAAGTATTTAAACTCAACCTCTTGCAGCCTTGTCATCATTTTAAATCACAAATTGCAAAATCCCAAACATCCCAATCCACGATAATATTATTACAATCTAGACATGATTATATTTACTATAGTCAAGAGGAGATATACCTCGAATATTCTCAACAAAACTTAGCCAACCCTTTAGATCGTCTTCCTGAGCTTTGCTTTGTAATTCTGCTCCATTCAATTTCTTGCTTTCAGCTGACCATTCTTTACTATGTTATTCTACTATCTTACACCACATCAATTTTGGTCCTCCCCTTCCCTATAAACACCCTCATGTGGACCACAACACTTTTCCCTTCCCTTCCCATATAAACACCCTCATGTGGACCACGGCACTTTTCCCTTCCTTTCCCGTATAAACACCCTCATGTAGACCATGACACTCTTCCTTTCTGGTGCTGCTCAGCTTTAATTGCAAAAGAGGACACCAACATGGATACGAAATGTCAATATAGCAACCTCAAAAAATCTAGTTGATGACAAACTGAGTACCTGATATTCAAATTACACTAGAGACTCGGGCTCTTTTAATCCCCTTGTAGTTTGGACATTTAGCACATTACCCTCTTATAGCTCAAATATAAACCCCATGGGGTTTTGGAGTAAAGTGCAACTGTCAAAAATGACGGAAATTGTGACACGTGTCTAATTTGCAAGTTGGCTTGTGAGAAATTTAAATCGAAGTCAACCCTCAACGTAAAAGACAAAAATGCCCTCATGATTTTTCAAAAAGACACCAAATCCCTCTATTTATCTCCTTTTTCAACCCCCAGTGTCAACAAACGAGAGACCTCCAAAATTCCCCTCCAACATGGGCACACACTGACGACATTGAATCACCACCATCAAAAATCAACAAAATGCAAGTAAAACTCAATTTTCCTTTCACATCCAATAAAACCATTACCACAACTTTTCAAAAGAATCCAAGTCCGATTGACGAAAAATGTCCATTAAAATATTCATTTTGTGCGCTACAATCACAAGCAACAGAAAAGGGCAAACTTCGTTTTACCTTTTGTGGTTTGCCTTTAATGCACATAACTCCCCCTCGTTTCAAAAACCACTTAACCCCCATGAGGTTTTTGGTCTATAATGTCCCCTGACTCTGCTGTCACAAAAATATAAATGAGCTTATTACCATAATTCAAGGTCACGATATCAGTCATCAACTCAATGGGTACTATGGCACATCAATCACAGCGTCACAGAATGATATTGGTCAATACACTCAAAAATGCTAGACGGAAGGCCCAAAAAATTTCCAAAAATATTAATAGAATTAATTCTAAAATATATAAAGAACAACATTTGTGTATCATATGTCCAAAATACATCACCTAACACACTAAAACATAGTGACAATGAACAATAAGTGCACTGCAAAAAGATAAAAACAATTGTTTCATATCTACGTTCAATTGTTTCTTTCTCTTCTTTTTTTTTGGCCTTTTGCTTGCTAGTTTCTCATGTGGGTCGATTATTCGATTGCAACTCTTACGACTTAGTAACAAGTTAGTCCAAGTCAACCAAGTTGGATCAAAGTTGCACCAATTCTGGCCGGTCTCTAATTCATGGCCGATTTGGGTGATAATCGTGGATTTGGTGGATCGTGTCCTGATATCATTTCGAACCCAATACCTTGGACCCCACTTATTATTGCTCTCTATCTCCTTCTTCTAAGGTGAGTGGTCCCTTCTTCCCCAGAAGACCTATCGCCCCAATGGGTTTTTGGCAAACCCAAACTTTCGACCACCCTCATCCTCTCTCATAGGAGACAAATAATCACTTCACGTGAAGGATCTTCCCACTCGACTATGTTTGAGGAATCACTGGACACAAGCTAAAGGGGTGCTAATGTGGATCAACCATGATAATGTCCTCGCCGACAAGTCTAACAGCCTTTTTGGAGTAGAATCCTCTCATTGGTCCATGTGTACGGCATGAGTGCCCGTAGAGGGCAATCCCAATGAATTATCTTTGAAGTGGCTTCATCACCTAAGGGCTATCTTTTTTCTCAATCAAAGTATGCAGTTAATGTTATCCATAAGGCTTGATTAATAGATTCTCGGACTATTGAGACTCCACTCTAGCTTAATGCGTATTATGCTTCTGCTGATGGTGTTCCTTTAGCTTATCCTACTTGTATCGGGTTCTTGTTGGTAGTTTGGTCTATCTCACTCTTACACAACCTGATATTGCTTATGTTGTTCATGTTATTAATCAATTTGTCTCTTCTCCAACTACAATTCACTAGGTTACAGTTCTCCATATTTTGTATTATCTTTAAAGCATTTTATATCAAAGTTTCTTGTTCTCTTCCACTTCTTCTTTGGAGTTTCGTGTCTTTTCTGATGACAGCTGGGCAGGTGATGTCATGGATCGTAACTCCACAACTGGTTTATATGTCTTTTTGGATGATTTTCCTTATTTTTTGGAGGAACAACAAACAAACTGTTGCCAGTCGTTCCACTTTTGAGGCTAAATATTGTGGTATGACTACTAGGACGATTGAGCTTGGTTAAGATGGTTACTTGCTGATCTAGGAGCTTTTTCTACTCCTATTTTTATGTCTTGTGACAACAAGAGTGCTTATAGATTGAACATAATTCTGTTTTCCATGAGTGGACTAAACAAATCGAGATTAATTGTCATTTTTGTGAATCACCATCTTTTACTTGCGACTATTTCCTTCTTTTTTGTTTCTTCTACTATGCAATTGGCCGACTTTTTCATGAAGTCTCACGCTACACTACGTTTTTGTTTTTGTTTTCGTTTTCTTCTTAACAAACTCTAAATGCTTCTTCCTATTGTCACATCACAAGCTTGAGGGGGGTGTTAAGATTGTATTTACATTTATATTTATTTCTCATTAGGGGTATTTAGTCCTCCTCTTGTAGTAGGGTTTATGTATACAATGTCTTGTAACTAATTATTATCATGGAATATTACAGTTGCAGACTACTTTTCTCTTTCTCTTCTCCTTCTATGTATGCCTTTTCTTCTTTGTAAGTTTGATCTAAGCTTTCATTTTGAACTTATTCAATGAAGTAACTAATTGAAATAAATGGTTTAAATATTCTATTTTCGATCTATGGTAGCTTTTTTTTTACATGAAATAAACATCTCCTTCTATGTATGCCTTTTTTTCTTTGTAAGTTTGATCTAAACTTTCATTTTGAACTTATTCAATGAAGTAACTAATTGAAATAAATGGTTTAAAAATTCAATTTTTGAAATATGGTAGCTTTTTTTGCATGAAATAAACATATTCTGGCCCCAAAATGACTAATCAATTTAGTATGTTACTCATTGAACAATGCCCTTTTATAATATGTCATTACTCTCAAATTTAAGGTTTGAACCATCTAGAAAGTAAAAGCCAAAGACCGTCAGGAATATCAATACAACATAGATTTACTTGCATGAATATTTATTTTATCCAATTATATATCCACAAATAATCAATAAAAAAATTTACAAAATACATAAAGATATGTATCTATTGACATGTCCCATCTCCGTATCCTATATTTTTAGATTTTCTAGAATTGTAATATCAATATTGTACTTCTAGCCAGTATCATTATTCATGTTTCCTAGCCATGCAACATCTTTCACCTTCAACTTATTCCAAGCAAATAAGATAGCATCAACCATCCTTGCCTAGCTTCTGGTTGTACACCAAAGGATTTAGGCATATAGGCTTTTACCAAAAAAACAATGGAAGAGAAAAAAGTTTGTCAAAGATAATGTATTGGCTCACTCAAACTCTCCCAAGATCTCCCAAGATGCTGGAGGGATGACTGTATGCTAGAACTCAGAAAATTCAGGGGTGACACTTCTCAGAATCCTGTTCAGCACTGAACCCTCAGCAATCAGTTAGGGTCTTCTTAGGTTTAATCTATTGTAGTTTCTTTGGATTACCCAGTTTTGTGAAGACACATTCGCCTCTGGAATGTTTGATTCTACGGCTTCATTTAAAGAATCAAGAAAAACAGAATTTATAGCGCCAACAAAGAAGAGGTTCCCTGAA